AGGGCTATTGTGCCTGTTGAGGGTGGCCCCTGCCTCTTTTCCTCCCCCATGCACATGTTTGATATCACAAACAAACAAACAAACTCAGTTTCTGTAGAGAAGAAAGCTATAATATTGTTCATGGCCAGGCTAAGGAAACCCAGTAAGAAAAGCTTATAGCAAGATTCTGCAGGGACGTGGGCAAGAGTTAGAATGTCACTCAGAAGGCTTTCTGTGTGTTGTGAGCACTAATTCGATTATGTTCTGAGCAGTTTCTGCTGTTCTGAGCATGGGTTCCTGTGTGTTCTGAGCTCAGGTTCCTGTGTGTTCTGAGCTCAGCTTTCTGTGTGTTCTGAGCTCAGGTTCCTGTGTGTTCTGAGTCAGCTTTCTGTGTGTTCTGAGCTCAGGTTCCTATGTGTTCTGAGCTCTAGTACCTGTGTGTTCTGAGCTCAGCTTCCTGTGTGTTCTGAGCTCAGCTTCCTGTGTGTTCTGAGCTCCGACTCCTGTATGTTCTGAGCTCTAGTACCTGTGTGTTCTGAGCTTGACTCCTGTGTCTTCTGAGCTCTGACTCCTGTGTGTTCTGAGCTCAGCTTCCTGTGTGTTCTGATCTCTAGTACCTGTGTGTTCTGAGCTCTAGTACCTGTGTGTTCTGAGCTCAGCTTCCTGTAGGTTCTGAGCTCAGGTTCCTGTGTGTTCTTAGCTCTGGTATCTGTGTGTTCTGAGCTCTCGCACCTGTGTGTTCTGAGCTCAGCTTCCTGTGTGTTCTGAGCTCTGGTATCTGTGTGTTCTGAACTCTGGTTCCTGTGTGTGTTCTAAGCTCTAGTACCTGTGTGTTCTGAGCTCAGGTTCCTGTGTTTTCTGAGCTCAGCTTCCTGTGTGTTCTGAGCTCTGGTATCTGTGTGTTCTGAGCTCAGGTTCCTGTGTGTTCTGAGCTCTGGTTCCTGTGTGTTCTTTTTCTTTATTTTAGTTTTTTTTTTTTTTTTGGAGAGGTTTTCATTGTAGGGCACATGCGCTTGCCAGACAGACAGAGAACGAGAGACAGAAAGCGAGAAATCACCCCCCCAGGGGGGATGGTCATGCCGCAATCCCTTTTCCTCCATTCTCCTCTTGGGATCTTGGGTATGCATGCACAGGTGCCCAGCGTGAGTTTGAAGCCACCAGGTCCGGGACGTGAACCGCGGTCGACTACGTGGGAGTCCAGCAACATAGCCATTATGCTAACTGCTGGTTCCCTATTTTAGTTTTTAAAATTTCATTTTCTTTTATACATACATTAGCTTACAAAGTGAACATTTCAATATGTGGACATTTCTCCCCAGTACAGTTGATTAAACTGTAAAACAGCTTCAACAGATAATATCACATTTCTTTGTCTCATTAATACTTTGCCTCCGTATTTTTCTTCTAAATGTTCCTGTGTATTCTGAGCTCTGGTTCCTGTATGTTCTGAGCTCTGGTTCCTATGTGTTCTGAGTACTGGTTCCTGTGTGTTCTGAGTACCGTTTCCTGTGTGTTCTGAGCTCTGGTTCCTGTGTGTTTTGAATACCAGTTTCTATGTGTTGTGAGCTCTGGTTCCTGCGTATTCTGAGCTCTGGCTCCTGTGTGTTCTGGGTACTGATTCCTATGTATCAGTTTTGTGTACCAGGCAGTGTTGTGTAGTGCTCAGAAGTCCAATGGCACAAGGACTGAGCTTCAGTTTGCCTCCTGAGAAAATGGGCATTGTTATTTTGGAATCCCATCTTGCCTCACAAAAGAAAACTGTGGAAACTAAGGTAGCAGTTCCATAGGGGTAATAAGTGAGAAATAAATAACTCAGTTTGTTCATTGAAATTTAATGAAAAGATTAAAATGTTGCATTCATTCTACAAGTTTCATTGCATTTCTACAATGTCCAAGTACTATGCCAGATGCTGGAAGTCAGAATGATCAGACTTGGGTCCTGTTCCTCACGGTTTACTCAAGGGACTCATTCCAGGTGGAGCAGGGTAAATGGAGTGTAGTTCTCAGCATACAGGAGCTCCGACCCTCATGATTTCTAGAGCGCATTGATTTTTCCCTGAACCTCAGTTTCCCCACTTTTAAAAATAAGACAAAAATATTTACTTCAGAGAATTTTTTTTTGAAGAAATTATGTATTTATTTCAAGAGAGAGAGAGAGAGAGAGAAGCACTTTCAACAGAGTCTCATGCTGCATTCCTCCCCCAGCCCTTCCAGCCAGTTGGCATCATGGGCATGCACCTACATGCTTGACACGTAGAGGTCAATCTGGGAACCAAATCCTGATCTTCCATTTCACTTCCAGCCTTGCAGAGCAGCATTTTAGAACTGTGCCACTGCAGCTGGGCCTTCATAGAGTTAGAAAAATAAATCGAAGGCATAATTCCATTCATTCATTTGTTAATTCATTCTATAAATATTTGTCAAGTGCTGAGAGTTTTAGACATTGTTCTAAGATCCAGGATGCAGCAATGAGGAAAACAATTCCTAGCTTTCTTTGAGCTTCTGCTTCCAGGGCAGGAGACATGTGAAGAGGCTTCAAAATTCTATGGAAATTGCATATTATGAAAACACTATACTTGGGTTTCAAATGTTTTTGTACCAGGTAAACTTGTACTTTAATTCCATTTTTCCATGAAATTTTCAAAGTCTCCTTGTAGTATATTATATGGCAATAAGAATTATAGAAAATATAATAAGCAGGGAAAGGAGGGTAGGAGTGGGGTGGAGGTTATTGTAATAATCCAGATGAGAGATTATGGTGGCCAGGATGAGGGTGTGGTCATGGAGGTGGAAGCAGTGGTCAGATTCTGGATCCATTTTGATGATAGGTTTTTCAAGATTTGCTAATGGAGTGATATGAAGTAGGAGAAAAAGAAAGAGTCAGGGATGATGTGATGATTTGGGGCTGTGATGAAGAGAAGATTAACTTAGAGCAGAGAAAGCCCAGGAGCTCAGTATTGGACCTGTGAACTCTGAGATCTTATATCCAGGTGGAGATTTTGAATAGGCCATTGGATAATCAAGTGTGGAGTTCAGAGTAAAGATTAGGGCTTATACAGCTAAAATAACTTTTATAGAGTGTACTGAATAATCCTAATTATAGACCAATCAATGAATTGATTATGACTCATTCATAATCCATATTAATTTAAACATTTTTTATTTTTATTTATTAATTTTTAGAGAGATTTTTACAATAGGGTGTGTGCACTTACCAGAGAGACAGAGAGAGAGACAGACAGACAGAAAGCAAGAAATCACCCCCTGGAGGGGATGATCACACCACAGTCCCTTCTCCCTCATTCTCATCTCCAGATTTTGGGCACACATGCACATGCTCCTGGCTTGAGTTTCAAGCCACAGGGTCTGGGACTTGAACTATGGTCTACTATGTGGGAGTTCAGTGATATATCCATGATGCCATCTTCTGGACCCCCAAATTTTTATTTTTATGAAACAAAAATTATAGGACTTTTTTTCACAGAGAAATTTACATTCCTTTGTTTGTTAAATATGTCTTCACTTTTTCCCCATTCACCTTCTCCTACCCACCCAGTATCACCCACTTCTCTACCACCCACTTCCCTGTCTTAGAGTCTCTGGCGTCTATACTTATCCTCTCTACTATCATATTGTCAGATATTTCTATTTCTGCCATGAAGCGCAGGCATTCAGTACATATTGAGTGGGGATATATGGGTGTGTATCTTTCAAAGTCTGGCTTACTTCATTTTACCTTAAGTTCTCTGTATTTGTTTACTTTGAATCAAACAATGGGACCTCATTGCTTCTTATGGCTGAGTAATATTCCATGGTGTATATGTGGTCAGTCAAGATCCAAGCCAGTCATCAGGTTTTGGACACTTAGGGTGATTTCATGTCTTGGCAATTGTGAACAGTGCTATAAGAAACATGGATGTACAAATGTCTTTCTGACTATTTTTCTATTCTTTGAGTACTGAGGAGCGGGATTACTGGGTCATATGGTAGTTCTATTTGTACATTTTTGAGGAACCTTGATATTCTTCATATTATTGTGTCCACAGAGGCCGTACTGATTTACTTTCCCACCAGCAGTACACGAGGGCACCCTTTTTACCACAGCCCTGCCAACACATGTTGTTCTTTATTTTTTTGATCCTAACCATTTTAACTAAAGTTAAAAGGTATCTCATTGTGGTTTTAATTTGCATTTCCCTTAGAACAAGAGACTTAGAGCATTTCTTCATATCCTCTTTGGTTATTCATAAGTCTTCCTTGGAGAGTTACCTATCTAGCTCTTTGCCCATTTTTAAAAAACCTCTACAAAGAAAATTATGAAAAAACTGAAAAAAGAAATAGAGTATAATACAAAAAATGGGAAGACATCTGCTATTCTTGGATTGCAATAATCAATATAATCAAAATGTCAGTTCTACCCAAAATAATTTACATATTTATTGTGATTCTGATCAAATTTCTGATGACATTCTTCATGAAAGTAGAAAAATCAATCATAAAATTTGTCTGGAATCATAAAAGACCCCATATCACCAAGGTGATACTATATGATACTATATAAAAAGAATAAAGTAGGTGGCATCTCACTACCTGACTTCAAACTACATTACAAACTGGTGGTAATCAAAACAGCATTGTTCTGGCAAAAAAAAAAAAAAAAGAAAGAAAGAAAAATAGACACATAGATCAATGGAAAACAAACTAAAGATAGTCAGAGGAAGAGAAAGTGTGTCTTGGTGTGGGGATGCTGTAGTTGGTTAGAGAAGTCTCCCAGCAAAAAGGCACTTGAGTTGGCCCTTGAAGGATGGGAAAGACTGGGGTCTACAAAAGAAATTCTAGGATGAGAAAGTTTGGTGTATGCTGGGTATTGGAGGCTGCTCGGCTTTTATCAGAGTGGAGGGTAAGAAGCAGACTCATGAGAAAGAATTAAAAGATTGTTTAGGTCCAGGGACCTAAGGGACCAGGCCAAGAGGTGGAACTTTATTAGACAGACACTTGGTAAATGTTTGAAGGTTTCTTACCTTGAAAGTGATACAGCCCAAGCTCCATGAAGGTCATCTTCATCTCTGTATCTTCAGTGAACTGGAGCAGACCAGAGAGAGCCTCAATAGCCAAGGCTAATGGGAGGTCAAACCCTTGCCAGCAGAGAGGAAGAGAAAGATGATCTCAAGGATAATTCTATCCTTGAGTGTCAAGTGGTTAGGTTGTAGGCTCAGGAATCTCACTGTGTGCTCAGCCACACTCTCATTCAGTCTTTACAACTGAATTTAAACTGCTCTGCCAGGTGTTTGCTGTCATTATTCTCATTACAAGATGAGAACACTGAAGCTCAGAAAGGTTAAGTCATTGCCTGAGGTCACACAGCTGACAACGCAAAATTAGACTGCAGACCAGGCTGTTTGATTTCTGGTCCCTAAGTTTTTATTTTTTTATTTTATTTTTTAATTTTTTTTTTAAGGGTTTTGCCATAGGGTGCATATCACTGGAGAGAAACAGAGAGAGACAGTGAAATGGAAAGTGAGAAATCACCCCCTAAGGGGGATGGCCACATAACAATCCCTTCCCTTCCATTCTACTCCTGGGATTCTGAGCATGAACACACACATGCCCTGTGTGATTTTCAACCTATCAGGTCTGAAACTCGAACTATGGTTGGTTATGTTGAAGTCTAGCACCTCAACTACCATACCACCTGCTGGCTCCTGGGCCCCAAGATTTAATCTCTTATAGTCGAGCTTCTCACAGCTATCTGGTTTAGATGGTAGCCTTATTTTCTAAGAGGAGGAACCAGTGCTTAGAGAAGAGGAAAACCAAGTGCATTTAGATAGAATTTTTCAGTTAAGTTTGGGGAAGGATTGTTTGAGAGAGAGTGGCTTCAGGTAGAAGAGGATAAGAAAGATTTGGAATGAAGACTCTAGAGAACTGTAGAATCATGAGAGAGTCTGAGTTAAAGGAAAAGAGTTAGCAGGATCAACAAAGTTTACTGGAGGATTATTTTACTGCTGGAGAGTTTGTGAATGAAAATGTATGTTCTCTGGGCTAGTTCTGCCTCTGGCAGTCAGTAAGTGTAAGGCTTTAGGCAAGTCTCTTTTCTGCCTTGAGCCCTTTCTTGGCTTGACAAATGAGGTTGGCAGTGCTTGCCTGGCCTCTTGGTGGTGTTGCAATAGTGGTTTCAGGGGCTATGGATGGGTGTCTGGCTTTGCTTGGGAAGATGGAACCTTTGTTGTTTACAGCTGGAGTCTTGGGGTTGGCAAGCCAGTTGGGTTTTCAGCAGCAGGAACACTGAGCCAGGCAGGTGTGACCTGAGCCTGTCCTTGCTCAGGGCAGAATGATGAATCTGCATGTCTGTGTCAAATCAGGTCAGTTGGAACTATATGATTTCTAAGTGCATTTAGTATAATTCAGGTGGTTTTTCAGTACTTTGTAAATGAAGGAATCTATGATCCACCACTGCTTATGGGATTTTTTTCATTATTTTGCCTTTCTTTTTACCTACTAAATTGAAAAAACTCTTCCCCCCCCCCTTTTTTTTGTCTTAAGTTTCTCTTATATCTTGGAATACCCTAAAACTTAAAACACTTTTTGAAAATATTTCACACAGCAACAAAACATAACCCATTTCAGACTGTCCTGATTCTCAAAATGTGATTGAGATTATATTTTTTAAAAAAATTTAGATTGAAATTAGTGAATGTGGTAGTCTGAATATCTCTGCAAAGATGTCTCCGAAACAAGTCCATGTCCTAATTCTTGGAAACTGTGAGCATGTCACTTTATATAGCAAAAGGTATATTGCAGATGTGATTACATTAAGGATTTCGAAATGGGGAGATTATCCTGGATTATCCAGGTAGGAACAGTATAATCATAAGAGTCTGCATAAGAGGGAGCCAGGAGAGACAGGGTAATGCCAACGTAAGGCTGTAAGGATGGAAAATGAGAGAGAGATGAAGATTCTATGCTGTTCTTTTTTTTAAGTTTATTTTTTTTCTCCACAAGTGTGAGAAGCAGAGAGAGGGACAAAGAGAGAGGAGAAATAGAGAAAAAATGTGCATGTTTTTTAAATAAAAGATCAATTTTGATTATTATGTCTCCTTTCTAGATGTGATAACTTAGTACTCCAGTAGTTATCCATATTAGTTTCCTGTAAGAAATTACCGCAAGCTTAGTAGTTTAAGGCAACAAAAATGTATTTTGTTTGTAGTTCTAGAGATCAGAAATCCTAAAGTCAAGATGTTGGGGGAGGTTTTAGTAGGGAATCTATTTGCCTTTTCTTTTATTTGAGAGAGGAAAAAACATACATTTTTTTTTCTCTCAGAGAGAGAGAGAGAGAGAAAGAGAGAGAGACAGCACCTCCCACAGGGTCATGACGTCATTATCCACCCACCCTCAGTTTCCACCAGTCCTGAGTCAGGGGCACTTGCCTGCCTGGAATACTCAAGGTGGTGTCCAGACAAATGGAGAACCTTCCCATGTGGGTCAGCCTTGCAGAGTATTACATTTTACCTTTGTGCCACTGTCTAATCCCTATGCTAATGGCTTTAAACAAAATACATTTTTGTTGCCTTAAACTACTAAGCTTGTGGTAATTTCTTACAGGAAACTAATATGGGTATTTACTGGAGTACTAAGTTGTCACATCTATAAAGGAGACATAATAATCAAAATTGATCTTTTCTTTTTTTTCTTTTTTTTTTTGGAGAGATTTTCACTATAGGGCGTGTGCGCTCGCCAGACAGACAGAGAGAGACATAGAGACAGAAAGTGAGAAATCACCCCCCAGGGGGGATGGTCACGCCGCAATCCCTTCTCCTCCATTCTCTTCTCAGGATCTTGGGCACGCATGCACACGCACCCGGAGTGAGTTTTAAGCCACTGGGTCCGTTACGCGAACCGCGGTCGACTACGTGAGAGTCCAGTGACATAGCCATTACGTTAACTGCTGGTTCCCCTTGATCTTTTATTTTAATAAAAGATCAAAATCCTGCTAGCTGTAGGGCTTATGAGTTATGTTCTTAAATACATACAATACCACATAACCTCCACCTAACTGTATATATTGGGATGGGAGAATAGGGTCACATGATAGATACCAGGTTGTCTATGATTATATAGAATTTTTTTGGTAGTAATTAGTGGTACTATGGTTTGAATGTCCTCTTAAAATTTGTATGTTGAGATTGGTAGTGACAGGATTAAGATGATGGAAACCTAATCCAAATAAGATATTGAAAGGTGGGGGTTGGGACCACCAGGTAGTGGCTAAGGTGTTGGACTTCCACATGGTCGATCATGGTTTGAGCCCCAGACTTGGAGGCCTGAAAATCATGCTAGGTGCGTGTGCATGTGTGTCCAAAATCCTGAGAGAAGAATGGAAGAAAAGAGATTGTGATATGGCCATATTATTTTCCGTTTCTCTGTCTTTCGCTGATGAGCACCCTATGGCAAAAACCTAAAAAAAAGAGGGAAAAATAAAAAAAGAAAGAAAAGAAAGGTGTAGGTCTTTGGGAAGTGATCAAGCATCAGGGTGGGGACCCCATGATTAAGTTCTAGTAGAGAAGGAATGAGGCCAGAATGGAGAGACAGATGGACACAGACCCATGCACTTTTGATCTTTCATGATGTGACGTTCTACATGACCTTGGACTCTACCAACAAAAGACCTTCACCAGGTGTTGCCCCTGGCCCTTGTGCCTCCAAATCATGAGCTAAATAAACCTCTGTTTTCTTAAATTACTCATACTCAGGTATTTTCTGTTACAACCAATAGGACAGATTAGCACACTCGGTCTAACAATGGGAGAGAGCATCACCCCATCCTGGGCAGAGCAATGACATGGCCAAAGGGCCAATGCCTACTCTATATCTTTTTTCTTTTGCCATTTGGAGATATTTTGTATCATTCTATTTTTCATCATTCTTCCCCCCCCCCCCCATTTTGATGGAAGTTCTTAAAAGAAAGTCTGATAGTAATAATTGATAACATGTACGAATTTTGATCATGGAATTATAGATTTACTGAATGTTAGCCTGGCGAGTGACATTGAGAGCAATGAGGTAAACTCTGTCCTTGCATTCACCAAGAGCCACGATCATGCCATACTTTGTTACTGCCATAGTGGAGCTGAAACTTTCCAACTTGGAGTCAGTCCTGAAATTGTTCCTAGGAGACCTGGCCCCTCTCAACAGTGTTGGCATTTCAAGGCCAGTTCCTAATTTTGAAATGAGAGCTTTTATGGAAAGAGAGAGAGAGAGAGAGAGAGAGAGAGAGAGAGAGAGAGAGAGAGAGAGAGAGAGAGAGAGAGAGAGAGAGAAAGAAAGAAACAGATCTATCTGAAAGAGGGAGGGGAACATTTTTGAGGTAGGGGCTCCAGGTCCAGAGGTCCCACTACATGAAGAGTTGCTTGCTTCTTCTTAATACCCAGACAAGGAATGGATTTAGGAAGATTTCACCATAATAGAGAGATATTTGAGGCAAGGAAGCTGACTATGTGGCCAATTGTGGTTCAAATCCCAGCTCCAGTGGCTTGAAAAACATGCCAGGTGCAAGTGTATGCACATCCAAAAATCCCAACAGGATATAGAAATGGAGAAGGGATTATGACATGACCATGCTCCACTGGGGGATGCTTTCTTCTCTCTGTGTGTCTCTGTCTCTCTGTCTCTCTCTAGCAACTGCTTGTCTCCCTCTAGTAATTAACAAAAAAGAAAGATATCTTGGAATCACTTTTGTCATGCAATATTAAACTATGAGACTGGGAAAAGGAGAAGGGAAAGAAAGTAGATCCTAGGTACATCTTAGATCTGAGTTTGGTTTCACAGTGGCTTTTTTTCACTTAAAAAATGTGAAGGCAGTCCAGCTGCTATGGTGCAGCAATAATACAAGTGCCCTGCCAGACTAGAAGCCATATGGGGACCATGGGTTCCAATTCCTAGGTTGGCCTGAAACATACTGGGAACATATGCAAGTGCCTAGTATCCTAAGGAGCTGGAGGGCTGGGGAAAGGGCATCACGCCATGACAAGACTATGGTTTTTTTTTTTGGAGAGGTTTTCACTATAGGGCGTGTGCGCTCGCCAGACAGAGACATAGAGACAGAAAGCGAGTAATCACCCCCCAGGGGGGATGGTCACGCCACAATCCCTTCTCCTCCATTCTCCTTTCAGGATCTTGGGCACGCACGCACACGCGCCCGGCGTGAGTTTTAAGCCACTGGGTCCGGGACGTGAACCGCGGTCGACTACGTGGGAGTCCAGCGACATAGCCATTTCGCTAACTGCTGGTTCCCACAAGACTATGTTGAAGATACTTCTCTCTCTCTCTTGTGTGTGTGTGCTATCATAAAATAAAATGTTGCTGAGGTTTCAACAGAGCAAAGATCATGAGATTTGGGGTTACATACCTGGATGAATCCCAGCTTTTTCCTAGATAACCATGTGATGTCTGGTGAGTTCTTTCAGTCTCTAGTCATGGTTTGCATAACTTTAAAATGGGTCACGTCACAGGATACCAGAGTGTTGTAGGTGAAGCCTGGCACAAAGTGATCTGTAGCTAAGATGATGATTGTCCTTATTATGACTATACCAGGCTACCTGACAGAGAGACTGCATGACCTGAGCAGATCAGAGGGGAGTGGGGAAAGCAATGAGCCCTACACAGCACCCCTGGAGGGAATTATCCTCGCTTCATTTGGGCACTTTCTTTCAAGGGAATTCATCACAGATGATGTTTTTTGTTGGGGGAAGGTGAGAAGGATGCCTTGTAGCATTGTGTTTTGTTTTCTTCATGTGAGAAGGAGAAGGCTGAAAATCCCTTTTCCATCACTCATATCATGATAAGGGAGTTGGAGCTGGAATGGAAGCTCAGAGAGTCAGGTGGCAGAAGCGTTTTAGTACTGACTTATTGGAATTTAACTTTTCTGTTTCTTCAAAGTTAGGTGCTACTTTATCGCTAGATATTGAGTTGAGAAAAAGAATGATCATTCTGTGAATTGATAGTACAGTAGAACTACATTTTCCTATCTGTAACAATTTGTTAAAATCATTAAAAATTTGTACATCATTAAAAATTCATTTTTGTTTTGTTTTGTTTTGTCTGGGAAGCCCTCTCTGCCCATTCTTTACCTGCTGAGCTCATACTCCCCAGAATACTTCTACGGAAGCTTCTAAAACCTCAGCTAGTCCAAATTAATTCTCTGAGCTCTAACTCAGCTTATTCCTTATTCTATCATGATAATAAATTATAGAGCTTTAGTCTTTTGTACATCTTAGTTCCTCTACTAGATTTTATCCTGAAGGGCAGAAACACTTTTATTTTTTAATCCCTTATAGTGTTTACAACAGAGCTTTGCATAATTGTGGGGAATTAATAGGTATTTGTGGACTTCTTGAATTACTTTGAATTGAAATAAAATCTCCAGAATGCTGAAGTAATCAGTTTGAAGAATCTTTACTCTATCATCTTATTAGAATCCAGTAAAAATTTACTAACTACCTACTACTAATTACCTACTACATGCTAGACACAGGGAATGCAGTTTGAAAAGACAGTCTCTAAAACTGAACTCAGATTTTTTTTTGTTTGTTTGTTTCTTCTTTTTAGAGAGATTTTTGCAATAGGGTGTGTGTGCTCACCAGAGAGACAGAGAGGCAGAGACAGAAAGTGAGAAATCACCCCCGAAGGGGGATGGCCATGCTGTAAGTCCTTCTTTTCCATTCTCTTCTTAGGATTTTGGACATGCATGCACATGTACCTGGTATGAGGTTTGGTTGCTGGGTCTAGGACTCGAACTACGGTTGACTATGTGGGAGTCCAGTGACATAACCGCTACGCCATCTGCTGGTCCCAAGAAATTATTTTCAAAAAGTGACTTTTGGTTCTCTTTTGATGTTTCATACAGGTAGAAGGCTAGAGGGAGAATTAAGTAATGCTTTCAGAGGGAATAGATGGAGCCATGCAGGAAAAATTCCAGAAAGGTCTGATGATTGAGCTGAGCTTTAAAGGGCTAGATATTTGTCAGTGTACCCAGATACAGGGCAAGGCATTCCAGACAGAGAGAACAGCGGGGAGGCAGGATACTGATTTGTATGGGTCACTCTGAAACATTGTGCAGTCTAGGGGAGTGATGGGCCGGAGGGATTAGTCATTGTTTCTCTAAGAAAGCTGCCTGCACTCCTGAATGACTGGATCTCTTTTTGTGAGCTGACTACAGGCCCTTGAGACATCTTCAGGGGTAAACTCACCAGGGACAAATCTCTCTTTTGAGGCAGAATGTAGTTTTAGCAACAGCTAATGGATGTTTCAAGACAAATCATGTGGACCAGCTGATTGATCAATACTAATGTGTGATTGTGCTCCTTAGTCACTGGCTTTGTAGGACATTTGAAGAGAGTTTTTTTAAGTGTTCTGAGCAATGATAGCAGCTGTAGGTCCTGTAAGGTTTCCTAAAGTGAAGCTCATGCTCCCAGAGTATCCGTGAAAAACATTAGTCCCATGTCATTACTGAACTTGAGGGGAAGCTGTCTCCAGGATTGCTTCGTTATGCACTTAATGCAATGAGCTAGTTTGAAGTGGCACTGATGTTTAAACTTAAAACTCGATTTCAGCATGGTGAATAGAAACTCCTAAATCCTGTTCACTCTTGGCTTGAGATCACATTTCACCATCAGCCCTGGTCAGCAAAGTATGAGAGTAGCCTACTTTGGGCACTTTGAGGGTTTTCCAGTTAGTTTTTGTAAAGGTGAGATGTTAGCCTAAGCTATGTAGTTTCCTCCACCCTATTGGGGTACATTTAGGAGCTGGCTGGAAGAGGCTGAGCATTCTGAATCACTGGAAAAGTCATGTTTTTGGTGTTAGCATATTGAGCTAACTGACCTGCAAACCCACAAATCTGGGCAATGTAGAAAATTAACACCTTAGAGGAGTGAAACTCAGAGAGTTTAGGAAGACTTTTGCTGTCTTCATATAAAATATGCACTAAACTTTTGTTATCTGTCAAATTATTACTGTGCCAGGCATGTAGAACACCATGGAAATAAAAAGAAATCTTATCCCTGCATTTAGAATGCATTTGGAAGTTAAAACAGCAGAATAGCATAGAATATTCAATAGGAAGCACTCTTGCTTTAGAAATCAGGAAGTACATAGGTTTCAGTCGTAGAGTGTGGACACTTGGTATATATTTAGTAGAGACATACAATGTCTCTCCTTCTTAGCCTGGCTTGCTTCACTATAGAAACACAGTAAATGGATGTAAATACCTGATATACTGTGTGTGAAAGAGTAGGGTCTGAGGAAGAACATTTAGAAGAAAAGTAGGGAGGCAAAGCATTAATGGGACAAAGAAATGTGGTATTATCTATTGAAGATATTTTTTAGTTTTATCAACTGGACTAGGGAGAAATGTCCACATTATGAAAAATGTGACTAGGGAACGGCCAATGGCACAATGGTTACATCACTGGATTCCTGTGCAGTCAACCACAGTTCATGTCCTGCACCCCACGACTTAAAACTCATGCTGGGCGTGTGTGTGTGCATGCTCAAGATCCCAAGAGGAGAATGGAGGAGAAGGGATTGCGGCGTGGCCATACCCCCTATAGCAAAAACCTCTCCAAAAAAAAAGAAACATTCACATTGTAAGAAAATAATGTGATTGAATGTATAAAAGAAAACGAAATAAAAAAAAAGGAAATCAGGAAGTACAACTTGTTAATGACAGATACAGAAATAAAGGCCCAGATGAGAGTGAGGACTCCGTCAGTGATTGGAAGTGAGGCTCAAAAATCTGAGGCCCCTCTCTCCTGCTCTTTATTGTGTCCACTCAGTAGGAGGAGTGTCTGACCATGAGGGGTCTGTGTTTCTGTCTCATCACAATCTTTTTCTGTGATACCCATCATACCATTTATTTCTAATGGGTAGCAGCAGCTCAGGCTCCTTTTTACTCATTCTCATAGAAATTCCTAGAAGTGGAGCAGGCTTTGGTTAAAAATAAAAAGATAAAGACAAAAAAGTTTTAATTTTTTTGCATTAAAAAAACCTGATTGAGAGCATATATACATATGCATCAGAGAGAAAAAGAGAAAGCACCTTTGACAAGGTCTCATCTTGCTCTTGCTGTTATTCCCTTTCCCCAGACTTCCAGCTCCTCAGGATCCTGACTGCAGGTGCTCCTGGTGTGTTTTCAAGCTGACCCAGGGATTTGAACCAGGGGTCAGCCATGTGACTTCCACACTTGGACTTGTGTTAGGGCTGCATCAGTGACTGGGTCATTGAAACTCAATCTCAATATGCCCTTATAATCATTTTTCTTTTCTTTTCTTTTCTTTTCTTTTCTTTTCTTTTCTTTTCTTTTCTTTTCTTTTCTTTTCTTTTCTTTTCTTTTCTTTTCTTTTCTTTTCTTTTCTTTTCTTTTCTTTTCTTTTCTTTTCTTTTCTTTTCTTTTCTTTTCTTTTCTTTTCTTTTCTTTTCTTTTCTTTTCTTTTCTTTTCTTTTCTTTTCTTTTCTTTTCTTTTCTTTTCTTTTCTTTTCTTTTCTTTTCTTTTCTTTTCTTTTCTTTTCTTTTCTTTTCTTTTCTTTTCTTTTCTTTTCTTTTCTTTTCTTTTCTTTTCTTTTCTTTTCTTTTCTTTTCTTTTCTTTTCTTTTCTTTTCTTTTCTTTTCTTTTCTTTTCTTTTCTTTTCTTTTCTTTTCTTTTCTTTTCTTTTCTTTTCTTTTCTTTCTTTTCCTAACACCTAACAGTGCCAGGGTAGAGGGCCATGACATTGTAGAATTTCATGGTAGCATTTCTTGAATGCTCCTTGTTAAACATTCCCCATTTCCTTTATGTCTGCAAGCTCATCTTACACATTTCAATGCAAACAACCAAAGGAACTCTAGGTTTCTGGAGTCTAGAAGAAAGGGTTCCTTTTCTTCTCATCTTTTTGTTAGTCATTGGTAATCTCCTAGGGCACTGGTTCCAGCTAAGGACTGATGACTCTTACGAGAAGCCAAGTTACCTATGAATCAGTCTCAAGTGCCTGAAAAAGCCAGCTTCAGCTGCCCAGCTGCCTCTACAGGCAGTTTTGCAACTTTTTCCTTTCTAGTGCATCTGATCTGGTTCTGGGGTCTAGTCTCTCTACTTCTGTTTCTTGATCCTCACTGAGATTTTAGTTTCTGTTTCTAGCTCTCTTAGTCCTCTGCTTTCTCTAGTCCTCTGCAGTGTCAGGTATAGTCTGCTTCTCTGGCCCTGCCCTCTCCCTGTCTGCCTAATCTGGGATAAGACCCTGATGTTAACTCCTGAAGGTATGTTTCAGAGACTAGGATTCAGACAGCCGATATTTGCAAGATGTTCGTGAAACTGCATTTTAGTGATGCCTCAAATCCATTTGATTTCCTCTTACCAGCATAGTGAGAATTCTCCAATTAGGTCAAACTTTATTGTCCACAGCAGGCTCCCTCTACTCTTCCACTAAACTGTGCAGAATCCCAGTAGTGGTAGGTGTTTTAGGTGTCAAACCTGTTC